CTATTTCTTCTTTCAAAGCCAATGTTTCCTTGCTAAGGTTTGTTCTTGTTGATCTATCCATAGGTTATAAGGTGATGTTGAAGTCTCCAGCCACTATTGTGTCGCTAGCCATGTTCTCCTGAATATTTGTTAGGAGTGTTTTAAATATTTAGATGTTCCCTCATTAGGTGCATATACATTTAAGAGTGTGATTTCTTCCTGTTGTATGTATCCCTTGATGAAGAGAAAATAGCCTTCTCTGTCCCTTCTAATCTTTTTCAACCTGAAAATAATGTTGTCGGACACGAGTATGGCCACCCCAGCCTTTTTGAGGGAACTGTTTGCTTGCAGGATTATTTTCCATCCTTTCACTTTGAGTCTCTTTTTGCTCTGACTGTTGAGATGAGTTTCTTGTAGGCAACAGAATGTTGGGTTCTGTCTCTGAATCCATTTTGCCACTATGTGTCTCTTAATTTGTGAATTTAGACCATTGACGTTGAGAGAGATTATTGTTATGGGGTTTTATGTAATCTTACTGGAAGGGTCTGTTGTGCTTGTAGGGTTTGTCTTGTCTTATAGTAGCCCCTTTGACCTTTGTTTGGGTTTGGTTTTGAGTGTATAAAGTTCTTGAGCTGCTGTTTATCTAGAAAATAGTGTACATTCCTTCGATTTTGAGTGAGAGTTTAGCTGGATATAGTATTCTTGGTGAAGCATTCACTTCAGTGAGTTTTTCACTATATCCCGCCATTGCCTTAGGGCTTGGAGGGTTTCCTTTGATAGGTCTGCTGTGAATCTAAGGGGTGCTCCTTTGTATGTGATTTCCTTCTTTGACCTGGGTGCTTGCAGTATTGTGTCTCTATCGGCAGCATCGATCATTCTAACTCTGATATGTCTTGGAGTGTTTTTGTTAGGGTCTCTTTTAGCTGGCACCCTTCGGGCTTCTTGAACCTGAAAGGCTGCCTTGTCGAGCTCTGGGAATTTTTCAGCAATGATTTGTTTAACCGTGCTTTTTCCATTGGGATTGTTTTTCCTGAGTTTCTGGTAGTCCAATTATTCTAATGTTGTTCCTCTTGGAATCATCTCCTAGGACTCTTATTCTCTCTAGAGCTATTTTGAGGTCCCTTGCCATTGTTTGTTGTTGCCTGTTGGCTTGGTGCAGCTAATCTTCTAGCTCACTGATTCTGTCTTCAGCTGCGGTCATTCTACTGTTGAGGGCACAGACTGAGTTTTTTATTTCATCTACGGAATCTTTTATTCGTGACATTTCTGCTCTCATTTCCTTTTGTAATTTGTAGTTAGTTTCTGTCATGTTACTGGACATCTGTCTGACTGTTTCATTCAGTTCATTGAACATCTTCATGACTTCATATCTGAATTCTTTGTCAGAGAGGTCCCTTAGGTGAGCAGCACCTACAGAGACTTCTGGATTCTTTTCGTCGTCCTCCCCATGTGGTGGGGATTTGCATTGTTTCTTCATGTTGGTGTGCAGGAATGGGGCCTAGGTACCTTGGTATGGCTAAACTACATGCGGCCGCATAAGCAACCGCTTGCTGAAAATTAGGCCATGCCCACTTCCACAGAAGTCACACCCACTTCTGAAAAGGCCACGCCCTCACGGGTACCTGGTTGTGTGTAATGGTAGTAAAGACTGGGTGAGGGAGGAGACCAGCACAGCTTGGGGGACGAAGAGGAAGTGGCAGAGGCTCAGGGCTGCTTTTCTCCCAGGTTCTGAGAGGATGCTTGGGGGGCTTGCAGGGAGAAAGCCAAGTCCCGGGTTCGAGTACCGGTGGGTAAACTGACTTGGGTAAGGCTGTGCCCAAAATAGTGGCAATTAACCCATCAGAAGAGCTGAAGCAGCAACATCAGAGAGTGTGAAGGAGGTTGGCAGGGCATACAGAAAGACTTGACGTGCCAGGACTCTTACACACAACTGATTTGGGTTCAATTCCCAGCCTCCCTATTGTCCCCTGAGCACGACCAGGAGTAATTCCTTAGTGCAGAGTCAGGAGTAACCCGAGTATTGCTGGGTATGACCCTGGGTGGTGGGGAATACCAGTACAGCTTGGGAGATGAAGAGGAAGAGGCAGAGGCTCAGGGCTGCTTTTCTACTAGCGTCTGAGAGGGCTTGCAGGGAGAGTTCCAAGTCCCAGGTTCAAATACTGGCAGATAAACTGACCTGAGTGGTGGAGAAGACTAATATCTTTCTTTACAGATTCCATAAAGTGAGAGTTAAAACTTTATTAACTCTCATCATGATATTGACATAAAATCTTCAGTGTTGGAGAGGGCATTTTGTTAAACTGTGAATTAGAATACTTTGTTAATATTAATTTTTAACTAAAAGTCTTAACTTTTTTTTTTGTGAGTCATAAAGTGTTTTTTTTTTTTTATTTATTTATTGAATCACTGTGGGAAAGGTTACAAAGCTTTCAGGTTTAGGTCTCAGTCATGCAAATATCAAACACATTTCCCTTTACCAATACTTATTTTTTACCATGAAGAACCCCAATAAAACCCCACCCCCCACCCCTCCCAGTCCCTGTGAGGCAGATGAATTCTAGTTAACACTCTATCTGCTTTGATTAGATTCACTGTTTCAATAAAAGATTCACCACTATTATTTAGAGTTTACCCCCCTCCCCAAATCAGACATGCTGAAAAAGCATTGTGAAGTGATTTTCTTCCTACAACTGGGTTCAAGAATTAAATGTTGGTTTTGGATTTCTGCTATTTTACCTATTGACCCTGGAAGTATTTCTACTGAAAGTCAGATAGTTAAGAAATTGGTTTCTGTGTTCTGGAGTCGTGGCCGTGCTGGAGAGCCGCTCATGGGGGGCAACTGGTGACCTCGGTAGGGCGTGAAGGACGGACCGGAACGCCCCCCTTCCCATGAGGTTTTAGTCGCCCCCACACCCTCGGCTCATACCTGCTGTCCACAAGACTCCCATGTGGCCGCCATCTTTCTTTCCAGAGAGGAGAGGGCGAATGGGGCAACACCCTTTCCCCTCCGGACAGACATGATGGCCTGGATTAACGCATAGTCCTTTCACTTTTCTGCTCCAAGCTGCCGGGTTCTGCATTAAGTCCTTGTGCTTCTGGGGCCGTGGCTGTGCTGGAGAGCCACTCGCGGGGGGCAACTGGTGACCTCGGTAGGGCGTGAAGGATGGACCGGAACACCCCCCTTCCCATGAGGTTTTGGTCGCCCCCACACCCCCGGCTCATACCTGCTGTCCACAAGGCTCCCATGTGGCCGCCATCTTTCTTTCCAGAGGGAGGAGGGCGGAAGGGAGCAACACCCTTTCCCCTCCGGCAGACTTGATGGCCTGGATTAACGCATAGTCCATTCACTTTTCTGCTCCAAGCTGCCGGGTTCTGCATTAAGTCCTTGTGCTTCTAGGGCTGTGGCCGTGCTGGAGAGCCGCTCGTGGGGGGCAACTGGTGACCTCGGTAGGGCATGAAGGACAGACCGGAATGCCCCCCTTCCCATGAGGTTTTAGTCGCCCCCACACCCCCAGCTCATACCTGCTGTCCACAAGGCTCCCATGCGGCTGCCATCTTTCTTTCCAGAGAAGAGAGGGCGAATGGGACAACACCCTTTCCCCTCTGGGCAGAAAAAGTCTTAACTTTTAAAATTAAATTTAGTATTCAGAACTTACTCCTGGCTCTGTACTCAGGCGTCAATCCTGACGGTGCGTGGGGGGTTATATGTGGTGCCCGGGATTGAACTCAGATCACCTATGTACCAGGCATATGCCTAATCCATTGTACTCTTTCTCCAGCCCTTTAAAGTCATTTTTAAGAGTAGTTTATATCTTTCTATAAGCCTTACCAATTGTTCTATAAGTTTTCATAAAACTGATATACTACCTGGAACCTTGAAATGAGTAATACTATTTTTTGGCGAACTCATCTCAGATAATCAAGAAATGTAATTGTTTATATTTATATGGCCATGCCAGAATTTGAATAGCATTTTGAGCTAGTAGTATTTCTTCTACCTATGGCTAATTTCTAGTAACATACTATAGAAATGATCCCTGAAAGTATAGTCCAACATGTATTTAACTCAGCCTGAAATTTAAAAAAATCAAAATAATTTTGATGCGCTTTATCTTTACTTCATCTGCATTGAGTTGAAGATGTCTTCAAACAAAGCCATGTTTGAAAAGCATATTAAGTTTTTCTTGGCCATTTTTTTCTGCTGCACATTGTCAGTGGACCTTAATGCAAGGTTATGCTCCATACACTGATTGATATATAAACAGAATACAGATGGTGTAGAGATGATTCTGATGATAATTCATTTTTCAGCTAGTCATGGAGAAATTTTGATTATAGTGTGTTTAAGTAATTATAACACAGCCTGCAATGGCACACATGGAAAACAAGTTCATGTTGTTCATGTGCAACAAAGGATGCAGTGTAATGTAATGATTTTAATTCCTAATGCTAGATTAGGGCTGGAGGAGTTTAAAATATGTCATGCAGTAAGGTAAGTCAATTAAACATAGACCAAATAAAAAAGGGAATGACACAGTTTTGAGGCACAAATATTTGTTTTGGAAAGTATTTAGATGTTGCCTGATGAAAGAAGCCAGTATTTTTACATTTGAGTAATAGTCTGTGTACAGCTTATTAAAAAATTACATGACTTAGTTTTAAGTTTATGTGAATTACCATTATTGTGAAGCTTATTTTCTGTGTCATGAATTAAAAACTGAAATGAGTGACTTTAATGATTCATAAGCCCGTTTTATTCTTGCTTTGATAGAGTTTTGTTAAAATCAAACATCCAAATAGTAACCTCACCAGTTCACATGGTGATCATTTGCCATAGGTGCAAATATCACAATGTTTAATGCCTCCTTTGAAACTAGTATGTCAATTATGCCTGAAATGTCTAAGCAAAGTGTCAAAAGGGGGAAACAGTAATGAGAAGATCGTGACTAGAGGAGTCTATTACGTTTTCATCTTTCATATTCTTTGCAGTTGATGCCACTATTTTTTTTGTTTTGTAATAGGATCATCGATCGTTTGGATGGAGTGCGTTTGTTGTGGTCACTGCTGAAAAATACTCACCCAGATGTGAAGTCCAGTGCAGCCTGGGCTCTCTGTCCCTGCATCGAAAATGCAAAGGTAAGATACGCTGCAAGGCAAAGCATACTAGAGCTCCTAATCATATATAAAAATTAGCGCCAAAGGAACTCATTTTGAATTATTTCAGTCAGATTTATCTGGTCGGGAAAATACTGAAGATGTGTGTCAAAATGATTTTTTGAGCAAAACTTTCCCTGATTTAAAATGGCAAAAGGTGGGTTGGAGATATCGCTTGATAGATTGAGCACTTGCTCGGCATGCAGGAGGCCTGTGTTCTCTCCCCGGCACTGCAAGTTTCCCTGAGCACTGCAGGTCTTCCTCTGAGCACAGAGACAGGAGTGACATCTGAGAACTTCTGGGTGTGTGACCCTTGGACCATAAAAGCTTTTCAGCCTGTTACAATTTATTTTTTCCCGAGATCTGTAAATTTTCTTTTCAGATCCTATTGCTGGAACTATTATTTATTGAATATTTTGAGCTATAAGAGTTTATCCCATTAATAAATTTAACATGACTTTTAAATGTTACCCGAAATATTTGTGACTTGAAATATTTTTTGTAAAATATAAAATATGCCATATGCTAAAAAGAAAAAAAATTTGTAAAAATCTGATAAATAGAGTTGTTTATAAGGAAATTAAACAAAGTACTCAAATAGCAAAGAATTGGAAAATGTACAACCGGATGATGATAGTCATAGCATGTCATACAATGCAGCAGTGGAAAATAAATGCATTTCAGCAATGTCTATATCAAAATAGATATAATTTACAAACATTGTGTTGAATGAAAACAATTTTCAGAACTAGATATACAGTGTAATGCATGTTATATCAATTTCAAATTATTTTTCAAAGGCAAAATTTAAATGGTATTAATTAGAGATCAAAGAAAGAAGCCCATTAGGGAAAATTGCTATGCATCATGGTAGAAAAACATCATAGGCTACTTGAATGAATTATCCTAGTCTTTATTTTAAAAATATGAACTCTAAAAACACCAAGTAATTTAGGAAGATTAATGATACTAAATAGACAAACAAGTTGCCTGGCAGGTAGAGAAATGTAGTGGGAGGGGAGGGTACCTTGGAATATTGGTGGAAGGAATCAGGCACTTTGGTAGTGGGTATGGTGTTGGAATGACATATGCATGAAGCTATCATTAACAGTATAATCATGGAAAGGGAAAAAGGAGACAAGCAAATATTAATAAGTAGTACTCACTGGGTCTGTAGAAATAGTATTTCATGTAGGTTGCTTGCCTTGCATGTGGCTGACCTGAGTTCAGTCTCCAGCATTCCAGATGGTCCCCTGAGTTCACCAGGAGTGATTCCTGAGTGCAGAGCCAGGAGTAAACCCTGAGCACTGCCAGGTGTGCTCCTGCAAAACAAAATGTAAGGTAAAGGTAAAGGTAAAGGCCCTCCCGTTGATCGTCGATTTGCTCGAGCGGGCCCAGTAACGTCTCCATTGGAGACTTTGTTGTTACTGTGTCTGGCATATCAAATACTCTTCGGTAGCTTGCCGGGCTCTCCGAGAGGGGCGGAGGAATTGAACTCGAGTCGGCCATGTTGACCGCTTGTAAGGCGAACGCCCTACCCGCTGTGCTATCGCTCCAAAATGAATAATAAATAAATTGGACTCACTGAAAAGAAAAGAACTGTTGTAAGAAATGTAATGTAATATTATGTCCAGAGTAGATCAAGAGGTAGTCATGGAATTTAAAATTATTACCTGTGGAGACTGTAACAACAGTACAGTGGGTAGGGTACTTGCCTTGCATGCAGCCAACTCGGGTTCAATCCCTGGCACTCCATTTGGTTCCCCAAACCTCCTTGGAGTAATTCCTGAGCACAGAGCCAGGAGGAAGCCCTGAATATCACTAGGTGTGGCCCCGAAACAAAAATATTACTTGTCAAGCACTGAATTTAACAGTGGAGACATATAACTAATGTGGACGTAACAACATCCAGAAGATAAAAATCTAATAAGTAACTAAGATGTACATTGAAAGTAAAAACTGGGAATGTGAATAAACAGGGGGAAAAGTAAGTGAAGGGAAGATGTATTTTTATTAAAAAGGAATATTTCTGTATTAATTGAAGAAAGAATTCAGACTTCATGTTGAGAAGATCTACTTCATTCCAAACAGGAAAAGTTGTTATCTACCCCTAGACCCAAACTCAAATTCAGTGGGTGTTAGGAGAGAATTCTGAAATGCAGAATGAAGGTGGTGTGAGTCTGGGGCAGAGGGAAGACAGAAGGTGTTCAGCGAAAAGAGAAGGATGAAAACAAAGAAAAGGCTGAGGAGTGCTGAGGTCATCAGGAGAGTGCTTTCTGGACAGCCAAGGAAGTACCCAAAGGCAACGAGGGAGGGAGTCTTCAACCAAATCACAGCCCTAAATGCACAAATGCTTTTGAAACTGGGAAAGAAGATCTTTAATATGGACATGAAATGATCATTGCTCAAAGACAGTTCAGGCTGAGAAATGAGAATGTGAGCCAGATGACACAAAGAAGAGAAATTAATTAAGGGATGGAGAAGAGAGATAAAGAGAATTAATATATCTTCCTCAAGGCTTAGCTGTTAAGAGGAGACAGCATAATATCCAGATGGCAATCCAAATGTTGAAAATTGAAAATATCACAAAGGCATAAGCGGTCAAAGGGGGGAGACCAGTAGGGAGAGGTGAGGCTCTCACTGTTCCTTCATTTGATGAGAAATGTGCTCCAAGTAGTGTTAAATACTTTCAGTGCATCAAGCAAACGGACAGTTGTAGAATGCATGAATCCTAAGCGTATCTATGGATAACAAAGTCAAGAGAACTTCTAGAGGGGAAAAAAACTGAGAAAAGGCAGCCTCTCCTTTTGTCTGTGTAAACATACCCATACCACAAATACATAGCCTGTCCTGACTTCAGAAATGAGAAGGTTATCAAGGGGACCTTATTTAGGACACTTTTTTTGGTGAATTTCAAACAGTAAAGGCAGGCTACTTGTTCTAACAGAGTAAGTGAGTTTTGACTGGCTAATTCAGCAATGATAAGTAGGTTTTCTGATTAGTTAGAATAGAAGACATTTTCACATACTAAGTATGCAAGTATCAAAATTTGAATATATGAACATCAGAAAATATACTTGTTGCAGCTAAATTCACAGTGAAATGCATCTAAATGCAGTGAATATTTATAGATGCAAATAGTAAATAAGAAGTACACATAACTTTTAAAAAATTCATTTGGATATGTAAATAAAATTTTTGAATGCTATTTGTCTTTTATAGGTCTGCCCCTGGAAAGAGGAAAGAGAAAAATTTAATGTATTTATTTAGAAAATATCTTGATTTGCAATATTCTTCTCTTTTTGAAAAATTGTTTTACAGGATCACATGATAAATATTTTGTGGGTCTCCCTCCTGTTCTAGAACAAAAATGTTTTGTTCTAAGGCAGGTATCTCAAGAGTAGCATATATAAAAGGTCGTGTGCTCAAAAAGGAGAGAGGAAATGAGAGGGAACATCCCGTTGTTCATTGATTTGCTCAAGCGGGCCCAGTAACGTCTCCATCGTGAGACTTCTTATTACTCTGTTTGGCATATCAAATACGTCACGGGTAGCTTGCCAGGCTCTGCCATGCCAGCGAGATACTCTTGTTAGCTTGCCGGGCTCTCCGAGAGGGGTGGAGGAATCAAACTCAGGTCAGCCTGGTTGGAAATAATTGTGCTATCGCTCCAGCCCTCCCAAGTCTATAATATCGAAAAATGCAAAGCTGTTTTCTTTTTTTAAATTGAATCACCATCAGATTCAGTTACAAAGCTTTCATGACTGAGTTACAGTCATACAATGATCAAACACCTATCCCTTCACCAGTGTGCATTTCCCCCACCAGTGTCCCCAGTAGCCACCCCCACTCCATCCCACCCCCTGCCTTTGTGGCAGGCACATTTCTTCTTACTGTCTCTCTCTACTTTTGGTCATCATGTTTTGTGATACAGATACTGAGACGCTATCATGTTTTGTCCTTTATCTACTTTTAGCACACATCTCCCATCCAGAGCAATCTTTCCAACCATCATTGACTTAGTGGTCCCTTCTCTGTCCTAGCTGACTTCTCCCCCAGCTTATGAGGCAGGCTTCCAAACCGCAGAGCAAACACTTGTCTCTACTGTCCTTTGGTGTTAGTGTCATGTTATTTTATATGCCATAGGAAAGCTGTTTTATAAAATCAAATGCTGTAAGGAATCGTTAACCCTAAGAATAATTTAAGATTCCATGTGATTACCTGTTATGTAAATTTTAGAAAATAAAGTAAAAATTTTGTTTCTTCCTGCAATAAAATGTTTCTCATTATAAATAAGAGCCATTGAAATATGACCTATAATTTCAGCACTTGGAGATGATTGCTATTGAGTTGATATGCTTGTCATCTCTCCCTTTAATAATGAATTGTGAATATTTCTCTGGGTCTATATGTGTCTTATGCCCTTGTATAACTTTACTTGCTACACAACATTTTGTATGGCTGTCACAATTTCTAACTAAATTTCCAGTGTTAAATAAGTATGAGGTTAGTAAAACGATTTATTTGCACTTTTCTAAAATCTCCTCATATAGATACCTCTGACCTATTGATAGACATTTGAGCTTGGTTGCACAGTGCTGATCCTACAGTTTTTATGAAATAATTAAGAAATACGATCCCAGAGATTAATTTGGCCAGAGGCTTTCTTCTGAGCTAAAATTAGCATTCCTAGAGTTGTTCCTCCTTTAGGACTACTCCTTACTCTGCGTTTAAATATACTGGGTAGAGCAGATTACATTGCACTCACCCAACTTTCTCCATACCGTACTGTCATTCTGCTACTTTCAGCAAATCAAAAATAATCTGCGCGGAGGATGTGGCTTAGTGTTAGAGCACAATGCCTTGCATGTGTAAATTCTTTTTTTTTTGTACTTTCATTATTATTTTTTATTGAATCACTGTAAGATACAGTTACAAAGCTTTCATGCTTGTGTTTCAGTCATAGAATTATTGAATGCCCATCC